GCCAATAAAGAATTCTATTCTATTAGTTCACTTTGGCCCTTTCAGTCTTATAGCTCTTAAAGGCAGAGGTAAGCCACTTCTGAAAATGTTGCTAAGAAAGTTGTAGAGGCTAATCTAAGCATTCATCAAGAGTCAACTCTGACTCAAAGGCACTGACACACAAAAACCCTTGCTATTATAGGAGTAGTTCCCAAAACACAGAACTAACAGTTTGTAATATAATTATGGTACTACTTAGTCAGGGTAAGACACTTGTGAAGGGTACAATATAAACTCAGGATTTATTTATTTATTTATTTGATTGTTATCATATACTAGAAAGGGCTTCAAAATATATAAGCCAGAACAACAAAATTATTTGGGCTGGCTCAGGCCAAACTGGCAGGTAGGCATTAGTACCGGCACTGCCTTCTTCAAAGTGGAGGCATAGTTTCCAGTTCACTAGATCTGCTGCTTTTCTTGTCATTATTGCCCGTTTGCCTGTTTTGTTTTTTTTCTAATCCACGCAAAGAGTGTTTAAGAATAAAGAGAAAGATGACGTTTGTTGGACTTTGAGAAAGAAATTCCATTTCAAGGAATTTAAAGAAAAATCAGAGAGGACACCCCAGTTAGAAATTCAAAGCAGTTCGGCTTCCGGTTGCGTGGCTTCGGCGGCAGCAGGAATTCGCGACTGCTCGCAATTCCTGCTGCGCTTGCTGCCAAGGTGCCCCCGATCCAAATGGGTCTGGGGGATATGGCTGCCCTGTAGAGGCAGCCGAAGAGAGAGGGGATCCGGACAGGGAGTTGGGGGTGTTGCCGGAAAAACCCCTTTTTCCCAAGGTGGTGGAGCGGCGGTCAGTGATGGCCGTCACAAAGAAGCCTGCAGCCGGGTAAGATTTGTGCTGGAGGAAGCTGGAGAAGTGAAAGTGCTGGCTGAGCCGAGACAATAACAACTCTTAAATACCCTGGAAACTGAACTGCTTGAATTTCCTGAGGATACATTGTTTCCCAAAGAAGACCGGAAAGCTGCGGTGAAAGCTGTCAAGGGGAAGTGTTTTTTTTCTTCACTCTCCCTCCCCATAGAAATAACAGACGGAGATCTGGAAAATCTACTTGGGCACCGAAGGTAATTTAATTTGAAATTTAAAGCCAAGGGATAAAGGATTTCTGGACATTGGATTTAAAAAACTTAAAATTCCTTTTATTTTGTACAAGGGGAAGGGAAGAGATAAAGACTCATTATAAGATTGTACTGAAGGAGATTGCTTTGAGCCTATAAGAACAGGATTAAAAGACATTAAGACTTCTAGAAGATCATCTTGGAAGTGTGTATTTGAATTCTACCCTAAAGGAGGTGAAAATATAGAAAGAAGAAAGTGCTAAATGAAACTGTTTGCTCTGATTTGTGGTTTGCTTTGTGACTTTGAGATTTCTGTGAAATCTTGTTTAAAAAAAGGGATTAGACATTAGGGTTGCGTTAAAAAAGAAAGAAAGAAAAAATGGCATTATCTTTTGAAGGATTACAAATGGAATTTCAAAGACTGAAAAAAGAAGATGAGGGCTCTTTTGGATCTATCTTTCCACTTTTTGGAAATGGCGATTTCTACCTATCAAGAAATACGACAACGACAGGAAGACTGGGATGAAGGAGAAGAAGCCATCTTTAATGGACAAACGCACTTAGTGGAGGAAGAAAAACGGAAGGGGGGCAAGGAAAAGATGAACTTAGAACTTAAAAAAGCAACCAAGAAAAAGAAAAATGAGATGAAAAAGCGATATGATGTCAGAAAGCAACAGAAAAGAGAAATACAACAGAGAGGGAAGACTAAGAGAGTGAAATTGGAGAGATGGGGGGGTCAAAAAGTTAGAATGGAGAAGAAAGAAAGGGGGAAAGGAAAGAGAAGTCATAAAGGCTTTAAACAAGGGTGAGATAATTTTTTAAAAATGATTCTGCAAAAGTACATAAGAATGCATTGTAGATATTAGTATTTGAAGCTGAGTTAGAAAATTAGAATATTATATGATTTAAAAATGTATTAAAGGGAAGCCATGATTTAATTATAGAGTTTAATTTCTTATGAAATATTATCTTTATTGTTTAAGAATTAATAATAGAATTTAATTTCCTATGAAACATTGTTTTTATTATATTATAAATTTAATATTTCTTTTTTACTTATTTTTAGTTTTATTATTATTTATCAAACTCAATATTATTTGTTTGTTTTACTATTTTGAAATGTAATACTTTGAATGTACGGAGCAGAATCAGCACGGAAAATATGTTTTATTTTAAGTGTTATTTAGGGGGAAGATAAAAAGTTGTCATACTTCAATTTGGGTTTACAGGAGAAATATTGTATTAGGTAGAAAGGATAAGTAGGTGATTGAAAGAAAACGGACCAAGGATGCAAATATAATTATTTAATTGAGATGGAATAAATAAAATAGAATTAAAAGAATGAGTAGGAGAGAGAAAATATATGGAAAATTAGAGAATGTTAAATAAGATATGAGATAGTATATTAAGTGAGTATAAATTTTGATTGATGTCTGTATAAAAAGAGTTAACTCGGGGTAAGCCGCCTTCCAAAAAGAAGTTTTATGTATTTATGTTTTGTGTAATGTTTGTTTAAGTCTGACAGGATGTGGAAGAATACTAATGAAAATATATTCAATGAGTATATATTTTTAAGGCAGAAGAAATATGATTAAATAGATGGAAAGAGAGTAATAAAGAAAAGTTTTGAAAAGATATGAAGTTGATTAGATAAGATAAATATATATATAGAAGTGTGATAATTTGGAATTATCTTCTTTTCAAATAAGATGGTTTATTTGTTTCTTCTAGAAAAGATATTTTATGTTACTACATCCTATGTTTTGTTTGTTTGTGTTAAAAAAAATTAATAAAGTTTGTTTAAAAAAAAAAGAAATTCAAAGCAGTTCAAGAGAAAGGGTACATTGGGGACAGTGAAATGGTATAAGCATAATCTCAAACTGTTCAATGAAAAGTGAAAATGACAGTTAAACAAGTGCAGCTGCACTAACAGTTCTCTAAGGAGTTAGTTGAGCGTAAAGGAACATTTTTTTTAAGCAAAAGACAGAGAACCAAATAACCAAGGTCAAGGCACAGAAAGTTAAATAAAGGGAAAGAAAAGAGTACAAAAACAATAACAATTAATATGTTTAATCTTGCCCAAATGACAGGATAGAACCACCAGACAGAGTATATACTAAAATTTAGGAATACCTGCCAACTAAGTAATAAAACTTTTCAGAACCAGAAAAAAGGGTTTTTTTAAACATTTGTTTTGAAAGCTATCAAATAGCATTTGATTCAGCATGCTGCCTTATACAGAGAATGGCAATAGTTGGCAGTAGTTGGCCTTCAAGGTATTGTATAATTTTAAATTAAAATTGGTTAAACCAGGTTAACCTATTTGCTTTGTCCCTCAGAACTAGATATAGGCAATGTAAGTGGAAGGACAATTAACCTCAACTCAAAATTTGTTGGAAGTTGCATTTTTAAATTATACATCAAATATATTTATTTATTGGGGCCAGGCACCTACATGGGAGAAGGGGGGATTTTAAAAACACAAGAGAATAGCCACAATCGTGTTATGAAAGCCCTGCCCCTTTTAATGTACATTATGTATCTGGCACAGTCTACAGGTAGTTGACTTATGACCATTCATTTAGCAACTGTTTGAAGTTTCAGCAGCGTTGGAAAAAAAAAAGACTTATGACCAATCTTCACACTTACAATTATTGTAGCATAGTGATCAGAATTTGGAAACTTGGCAATTAGCAAACATTTGACAGTTGCAGCATCCCAGGTTCGCTATTTACACCCTTCCCAGCCAGCTTCCAAAAAGCAGAGTCAACTAGATACACTTAATGATTCATTTAAAACTGCAGTAATTCAATTAACAATTGTCAAAAAGGTCATAAAATCAAGTGTGACTCACTTAACAACTGCCTTGCATAGCAACAAATTCTGATCCCAATTGTGGTCATAGGTCAGGGACCACCTAACCTGACATGGTTATAGCCATCATGTTGACTTTTTTTTAATGTCTCTTCCTGCAGAGACCACTGTAGCAAATACCAGTTTTACATTAGGTTAGCTTCCTTTCCCGTCTTTTTTCTTTCTTTCTTTACTGAAAATAAAATTAAATAGATTAGTGAGTGGTGATCATCATAGAACATATTGAAAAGGATATTACGGTATATTGGGAATGCATAATCTAGAAAGTATGTAATTCTACAAATCCAACAAATGCAGTAAGCCTGAAGTGATTAGTACATACATTAATTATAGTTGTTCCACTAAAATATAAATATCAGGCAGTGTAGGGAAAAATTACAGGAACATGATATTAACTAGATTATATATTAGCTTTCTTTCTTTGTTTCACATTTACAGGAAAAGTGTCTTGCTTGTATAGCAGAATGGTCTTGCCATGGAATACAATTAAACATCCTTGAGCTTTGAGATCGGTAAACAGAAGCAGGAAGCCAGATATTCCCACATACAGTTTAAATAGCTGTATCTCCTTTATAGCAGGTGGTAGCACCTTTAACACTTGGATAATCTTGAAATCCTAAGTAGCATTTAACCTGGTTAGTACTTTGATGGGAGATCACCAAAGATCTCAGAATCATAAGCTGGGAAGTTGAAAAAAAATCTTGGAACAAGTCAAAGGCAAACAGTTTTTCTAATATTATTGAGAGAATAACATAGATATAATCCTTATAATTCCTTATAATCACTTAAGGAACATATTGACTTGAGAAAGAATGTACTTTTCATTAGCTTCAGAAGGGGCTGGGGAAAACACTACAAAATTCTCAAACTATAAGAGGCAGAGCTCAGTGTGTGACATTAAGCAGAAAAATTCAGAAATCATCTCTTCTCTAATAGTTTAAATCTTGCATGCCTTAGTCTTCCAACCATTTTCAAGACCTGGAATGAGATGCTATTCCATGCACAATAGATTTCCTTCATTGGCTTCTCATGTTGAAAGGTTTGAAAAAGCTGATCTCTGGGAAGAAATGCTACAGACTTCTAAATTTGTAAAGGAACTCCCAGCATCACTAGTGTATTCTGGATAGGAAGAGCTAGAGGAGATGATGTTTTTCAATCTCTGAAGTGCAATAATTAACAGCAAAAGAAGAAACGCCAAGAGGCTAAGGAAGATTGAAACGTAAACATAGACGTTTGACATGCGATTGGAAGGCGAATCCATGGATGTTGAGAGAGACGTGGGGTACAGCTCCAAAAAAGTTCCATTTTCAATATTTGCTATTAATCCAGATGTGGAGTTGAGTTCTGACATTTTTAAAAAAATATTATTAATATGTGTGATTAGTAACACAATGAAAAGACTTAGTAGTCAAAAATAATTTTCTGTAAAACCTGTGGCATCTTGAGCCATTTCAGTAACGATTAAATCCTTATAGCAGATTTTAACAGGATGTTATGTCCTGGTGCTGTAAAGAGATAAAAATTGAAGGAAACAATGAAGCAATAGCATTTAAATATTAATTTCTGTTGACATTTTCATTCAGTATTATTTTGAAATGATATATTGTTATTATTTAAAAAACAATTTCTATTTCATGTAGGTTAAAATGAAAAAAGGCATGGATATTTTGAATACATATTTTACATTTACAACCATGGAAATAATTTAGTCGATAATAAAGATTGAGAATCTGATCTGTGTATACTGCTGTATATCTTGCAATTAAACACATGGTAAATTAATTTCTATAATGCTATTATTTAGTACTGATCTGGTAATTTTTTTTTGTTAAATATAAATATAGAACTACAAATCAATTAGCACATTTCTTTGAATTTTCTGACATATTTGAGGATTGCCTTTTTGATCAATCAAATGGTAATTCAATATGTAGGTTTATGATTTGAAAGCTACATTATTTATTCTTGTTCCAAGAATAAATGAAAGCAAAGGTTTTGCTCTTCAAATCTTTGTCTACAACTCTCATCATCATATTAGAATGATAGAAATATCATCTCTGGTTAAGAGAGATACTTAAAAGAAAAACAAATGCACATAGAAATGGACAGACCCACTGATCACAAAGACTAAAAGGACCTTATCAAATTAATATCACTTAGAAAACACAAAAAATAACATTGAATGTCTTTTGCTTTGGTATTACCCCAAGCAAGAACTCTTTTTTTCTTTCTTTCCAGAGTTGTTTTCATACAGATAATCTGCATGGAAATAGATGGCTGATCTATAAGCACTAAATGCAGTATAGAACTTTTTTGCTTTTATGTAGAGGGTGTCTTAATCCTCTAAGTGTAAACATTTTAATTTAAGCAAAGGTTTCATATGTAACTGGTCTCTTGCTGCTAAAGTTGGTGAAATGTTGGCTTTCTTTGTGGTCTTTTATAGTTAGGTTTGGGTTGGAGTTTTCATAATGCTTTTCACTGTGTTTTTAATTACACTTCTCTTTGATTGTGTTTTTAATTACACTTCTTTTAAGTACTCTGTACTGGTTTTTAAAAAGCATGTAATGCTTAGCAAGAAGTGACAATAATATGCCAAATTTTCATTGGGCTAATTTTCATTGAAACTATGCATTCAGAGAGACAAAAAAACATTCACTTAAAAACCCTGATTGTTTTGTATGTTTTGGGACTTGAGGAAAGTATAGATTGTAATCTGCTGCTCTTATAGGATAATTTATAATTGATCCTCTCTTAGCAATTGTTTGAACTTATGATGGTGAGTGGTAATTATGACCAGTCCTCATGCTTAATATCGGTTGCAGTGTCCCATTGTCATGTGATCATCATTTGTGACCCTCTTTGTCAGCTTCCTACAAGCAAAATCAGTAGGGAAGCTGGAATAAATGATGGCAACTACATCATTGCTTAATGGCAGTATGGCATTTACTTAACAATGGCAAATAGGACTAAAATTTCTGTGACAAAGTGATGCAATCACATGACATCATGCTTCATGAGCCTGTAACTTAGTAACAGAAATTCCAGTCCTAATTGTGTCATTAACGAAGGACCACCTGTACTGCTCAGGGAAAAGAGAAAATACACTGCAAAACAGAATAGAATAGTAAGATACAAAGTAGAGAAGCAGGGGTGGAATTCTACCAGTTTACACCTATTCGCTAGAACCGGTTAACATTCTAAGCAGTTCAGAGAACCGGTTGTTAGAAGAAATTACTGGCCTAATCCTGTAAGGAAGGCAGGAAGGAAACATTCTGGTGTTGCTTACAGAAACTGCTTCTCTGTTAACCCTTATTATGTTCTTGGCAGGACTAGACTTTCTCTCTCAGGAACGTCTCTGGAGTTTTTTTCCCCTCCTTTGCTGGTACTTTGCTTGTGTGGAGTTACCATTCAAAGTTACAATGGCACTGAAAAAAGTGATTTATGACCCTTTTTCACACTTACGACTGTTGCAGCATCCCCACAGTCATGAAAGGCCAGGCGAGGACATGCGTGCCTCGATGTGAGTAATATTGAGTTGGCCACACCCAGCCAGTAACATGACCACCAAGCCATGTCCACCCAGTCACATGACCACCAAGCCACACATACCACCTAAGCCACACCCACAGAACCGGTTGTTAAAAAATTTGAATCCCACCCCTGTAGAGAAGTGTTACTGGAGGCAATGCAAAAGACCATTTAGCATTGTATGGATATAGTTGGGGAGTAAATCTGAAATTCCACTCCATCATTACTCTGCCACTCTAAAATGTTGTTGCTAGTGAGGTGCTAGGTAATATTATTTATATTCACCCAGGCCTGTTACTATATTTATATGTTTATTTTAAGTATGCACATTTGCCTAGGAACATTTTAATTTCTCTGGCTGCTGCTTTTATTATTTATTTGATAGCATTATTTTAATTACTGTTAATTATTCAAACAAAGCAATATTTGATTTTAATGTACTGTAAGTTGAAAGATCTGGGCCTATTTCACAGTGAAGAAACAAAACTGAAAGAAGACTATGATCTCTTTTCAAATACCGGAAGAATGTAAACACAAAAGAAAATTAAGACTTCAGAGTATAATATAGGGAATGATTTATTCGACAGATTGCAGCTGAATGTTAGAAAAAACTTCCTAATAGCAAACAGTAGTTTGAGCTAAAGGCAGTTGACTATCTAAGACAGCAGGCATGGGAAACACTGCATTTGGAAAGTAATATGATATCAGTGATTTACCATATGGAATTCTGGATCGGCTGGAGCATGCCCCATCATCTCTGTATCTCTTATTATCTGTTTATCCAAAATAGTTTTCCTTGTGTTGTACTATTTTATTTATTTTTTATTTATTTATTTGATTTGCCAATTGTTTACAAGATAATAAGTATAAGTGTATACATAGTTGTGAATACATGAAATGGGTACATATAAGAAAAATAAAAGAAGAATAAGAGAAACAATAGGACAGGGACAGTAGGCACGTTGGTGCGCTTATGCACGCCCCCTACAGACCTCTTAGGAAAGGGGTGAGGTCAATAGTAGACAGTCTAAGGTTAAAGTTTTTGGGGTTTGGGGAAGAAACTACAGAGTCGGGTAGAGTATTCCAGTCACTCTGGCGGAAAAACAATTTATGCCACCAGATAAAGACCGAATGCACCAATTATCACATTAAACAAAAGGAAAACCTTCTAAGCACCAATTCCACCCTTGCTTTTTACAATTTTGTAAACAACAAACTAAAAGACTCAAGGTCCATCCCACCCTTGATAGGACCTGATGGTAAAGACTGCAACGACAACACCATTAAAGCCAACCTCTTTAACACATTCTTCAGCTCAGTATTTGTAAACAGCAATGGATCATGCCCAGTATTTCCTAGCCGTACCACAGATAACAACAATGATCTAATACATATCGATTTTACTGAAGACAATGTTGAAAAAGCACTACGCAATCTAAAACCATCTCTATCTATTGGACCGGATGGAATATGTGCCTACTTCTTAAAAAAGCTATCCACTGCCATAGCCAAACCTCTAAGCATAATCTTTGAAAAATCTTTCAGAACCAGCTCCTTGCCTAACCTATGGTCACAAGCCACAGTCATCCCCATCTTCAAAAAGGGAGACCCAAGCCTAGTTGAAAATTACAGACCAATCTCCTTATGCTGCGTCACCTGTAAAGTCATGGAATCAATTATTAACCAATCCATCATCCTCCACTTAGAGACAAACAACCTACTCTCCAATAAACAATTTGGTTTCAGAAAAAAACTATCCTGTAATCTGCAACTCTTACACTGCAAAAACATATGGACGACACAACTCGACCAGGGCAAAGCAATAGACGCAATCTACATAGACTTCTGTAAAGCCTTCGATTCAGTGGTACACGACAAACTACTCCTAAAAATAAAATCCTATGGTATCTCTGGACAACTGAATAACTGGATAGAAGCATTCCTGGCAAACAGACAACAAATGGTCAAAATTGGGAGCGTCCTATCAAATTCTGTACCTGTCAATAGTGGTGTCCCCCAAGGCAGTGTTCTAGGACCAACTCTCTTCATACTCTACATAAATGACCTCTGTGATCATATTAAGAGCAATTGCGTTCTTTTCGCTGATGATGTAAAGCTGTTCAACACCACAGACAATACTGCTACCCTACAAAAAGATCTTGACTATGTATCAGAATGGTCAAACAAATGGCAACTTCAAATCTCAACAAATAAATGCTCTGTCTTACATATTGGCAAAAAAAATCAGAAAATAAAATACAAGCTGAATAGTCAAGATCTTGTTGATGACCCAAGCTCTGTAAAGGACCTTGGAATACTCACCTCTAATGATCTAAGTGCTAGAGCCCACTGCAACTACATAGCCAAAAAGGCATTAAGAGTTGTTAACCTAATTCTACGTAGCTTTTTCTCTGGTAATATCACACTACTAACCAGAGCATACAAAACATTTGCTAGACCAATACTCGAATACAGTTCATCAGTCTGGAACCCACATTACGTATCTGATATTAGCACTATTGAGAAAGTCCAGAAATATTTCACAAGAAGAGTTCTCCACTCCTCTACTCGTTGTAGAATACCTTATGCCACCAGACTTGAAATTCTAGAACTAGAAAACCTTGAATTACGCCGTCTTCGGTCTGACTTAAGCATGGTATATAAAATCATACATTGCAATGTCCTACCTGTCAATGAATACTTCAGCTTCAACCATAACAACACAAGAGCACACAATAGATACAAACTCAAAGCTAACCGCACCAAACTTGATTGCAGGAAATACGACTTCAGCAATAGAG